CATATTAAGGTGCATACCCTGCATTCATTGTTCAGCTTATAATTTCTTTTTAGTGTATTGTTTCATGTTTTCAAAAACCCTTTACACCTTCTTTCTCTTTCATGCTTGGCTACTTGAAATATTGTAATATTACACATTAATGTGCTAAAATAGTTTCCAAATCTATTTTAGTTTCCATGTTTTAGGAGGTTTAGTTTGTCTTTATATTTTAATTTCCACATTTTAAAGTTGGGTTAATGTTCTTTAAGGTACTTAACTATCCAAAATGTTCACTTTATTCCCTCACAATTTCTATACGGGTTATTTCTGCTCTACTTATTGGCTTCAACTCTTGTTATTGACTTATTTCATTCATGTTGAGTTTTTTTTTTTTTTTTTTTTTTTTTTTTTTTTTTTTTTTTTTTTCTTTTCTTTTCTATTCGTTGTTTGTTACAGGATGGAGGAGTGACTATTCTCAAGTTTGAGCAAGGCAAGGGCAAAGATGGAAAAAACATTTCAAGACCAGCTTCTGTCCAAAGGGCACTGTCTATTCTTGAGATGGAGGTAGAGCAAATAAACAAGGGCAAATATGAACATTATATGCAGAAAGAGATTCATGAGCAGCCGGAATCTTTAACAACCACCATGAGGGGCCGCCTTATACGTGGTGGTTCCAGCAACAGGAAGAGTGTTCTGTTGGGTGGATTGAAGGATCATTTGAAAACTATTAGGAGGAGTAGAAGGATTGTTTTTATTGGATGTGGAACTAGCTATAATGCTGCTTTAGCTGCTAGACCTATATTGGAAGAACTTTCAGGTAACTCATTGTTAATAACTTAATAATATATCATCAAATAATCATACGAAGGTATTACGCATTTACCCTTTAAAAATCTTCTCAATTATAACAAAGAAAGTTGCTTTGTAATCGGATGTTATAGCTATAAACTATAAAGACTTAAAAGCAAGAAACAACATACTTTTATTGATACATTTATTAAATCATGTTACTTTCATTTCTTTCATTGAGATCAAATTAGGTTTAATTAGTATGTAGTTTTGTATTGAATTAGCTTCATGTATTGATAGGTATACCTGTAACAATGGAGATTGCAAGTGATTTATTGGATAGACAGGCACCTGTGTATAGAGATGATACAATAATCTTTGTTAGTCAATCTGGTGAAACAGCTGATACCTTAAATGCCCTTGAGTATGCATTGGGGAATGGTGCTTTATGTGTTGGAATTACAAACACTGTTGGTAGTGCTATTGCCCGAAACACACATTGTGGTGTTCATATTAATGCTGGTAGTGAGATTGGTGTTGCAAGTACCAAGGTATGTAAATTTCTTTCAGAAAATATCCCCAAAATACCCTCGAAAAAATATACTCACTAGTGCCACGCTCTGTTCTATATCCACATCTTTGCTTTTGTCCCGAAAATACCCCCATGAAACCACATACCACACTTCTCTTTCAAGTCTTAAACTGTGTGTTGGTGGTGGGGGTTGTTTCTGAGGGGCATTTTCGTCATAACAACAGAAAGATTGGCGTGGCTGGTAGAAAACCTTTTCAAAGTGAATTTGAAGAATTATGCTCAATAATACCTTGTCTTGAAAAATATCCTTATCTTTGCTTTTGTGCTAAAAATGCCTCTCCCAAGCTTGTTTGAGGGGTATTTTTGTCATAAAAACAACGAGATCTTTTCAGAAGTAAAATTTAAGAAAATATACGTGATAACACTCTCTCTTGCAATAATATGCTCACTAGTGGCCTTCTCTGTAATATATTCCCAATTTTGCTTTTATGCCTAAAATGCCCCTCTGAAACCTCCATACCATCACTTCATTTCCAACTGCCCCCAATTGAACTCTATGTGTTGGTGTTTTCCGAGGGGCATATTTGGCACAAAAGCTAATAAATGGATATACTTCATCAGTGAAGATATTCTTTCTGCTTGTTATTGGGCATGTTTTTTTAATTTTTTTTTTTTCAAAATTAATTTTTACAAGAATTGTTTTGGGTGTTGACATTTAGGCATACACAAGTCAAATAGTGGTGATGGCTATGGTGGCTCTAGCAATTGGAGCTGACACAATCTCTTCTAAACCACGAAGAGAAGCAATCATAGAAAGCCTTCTACATTTACCAAGTATGATCCATTTTCATTTCCATATTTCTAAATAAAAAACAGGATCTCTAACTGATTAAAAAAATCAATTTTTTTTTAAAGGCAAAGTGAAGGAAGTGTTGAAACTTGATGAAGAGATGAAAGATCTTGCAAAATCCTTAATCTCAGAGCAATCACTTCTCATGTTTGGAAGAGGGTATAACTATGCAACAGCTCTTGAAGGTGCATTGAAGGTCAAAGAGGTGGCACTCATGCACAGTGAAGGAATACTTGCTGGTGAAATGAAACATGGTCCTTTAGCTTTAGTTGATGAAAACCTTCCAATTGTTGTCATTGCTACTCGTGATCAATGTTTCAGGTTTGTTTTTTTGAAATATATATAGATAGACAGAAGGGTAAATTGGTCATTTACTTGCATTCAAATATATTTAGAACTGTTTTTTTTTTTTGAAACAGCAAACAGCAGTCAGTTATTCAACAACTGAAGGCTAGAAAAGGGAGGTTGATAGTGATGTGTACAGAAGGAGATGCAGCAGCTGTTTGTGGGCCATCTTGCAGAGTAATTCAAGTTCCTCTTGTTGTTGACTGCTTACAGCCTGTTGTCAACATAGTTCCATTGCAGGTATTTTTTTTTTTTTTTTTAAAATAAACTATACTCTTTATTTATTTTTTGTATAAAATCACCTATCATGTATTATGTGTTTGACTGATAAAAAGACCACTGTTATATGCAAGAAAATATTATAGCTCTCTACAAAAATTTTACTATGAAAAATCTACATATAAAGACTATATTTGGCGTACTAGCTGAAAAGCTAGCTGATAGCTGAAAAACTAACAGATAAAAAATGACGTTTGGTAAAACTAGCTGAAATATATAAAATTACATAAAAGGACATTTAAGAGAATGTGTCTCTATAATTAATTAAAGGGTATATTTGGAATTTTTTTAAAAAGCTCCTAAAAACTAGTCTAAGTAGTTATTCAAAAAGCTAGCATATAAACTATTTTTTGGCTTCCCTAACACGACAACATAAAAAAACTCGAAAAATAAGCTAACTTATCAGCTAGCTGTGGCGCGCCAAACACAGCCAAAGAGTTAAAGTGACTATTACTCTATTAGAAATCTCTGGAGTAAATTACACAAATGATCCCTATGGTTTGGGGTAATTTGCGCATTTGGTCCCTAACTTATTTTTTTAACTCGGAAAGTCTCTGCTGTTTGTTTTTATTACGTGTTTGCTCCCTACTGTTTGTTTTTGTTACGCACTTGGTCCCAGTCTTACCTAAAAAGACTATTATTTAAATAGGAAAAAATGGTGGAGTAGGTAAGGTAAGGTGAGGGGGTTGGGGTTGGGGTTGGGGGTGTGTTTATTTAAATAAATTGAAAAGTCAAGGGCAAAATAGTTTTTTTAGGTAAGACAAGGACCAAGCGCGTAATTTACTCAAATCTTTGTAATTGAGTGTCATTGCAAAGTAAAAGTAGATTGGTAAGTTCTTCATGCTAACCAATTTTTGATTTATATATTTTTGATGTTATTATATACATGTAAATTGATGTTTTCTTATTTATTTATTTATTTATTTATTTTAAATGCAGTTGTTGGCTTATCATTTAACGGTTCTACGAGGCTACAATGTTGATCAACCAAGGAATCTTGCAAAGAGTGTTACAACGGAATAGAAAATCTATAGATTATTGGCAATTGAAGCTAACATAGGTCACGTTGCATTTAGAGTTCCAATTAATTGGTGTGTTTCAATATATACAATTCTAAGACTGGCTTAACAAAGACATACTATCTCGATATAGAAATTTACATCTTAAGATTTTTTTGATTTTTTTTAATCATGTATATCATAATCTTTTCTAATGATTGTTCTCTTTTTGTTGTTTTTCATTAACATTTAAATTCTCATTTTTGTTTGGACACAAGATTTGGATTATATACTAAACGATTACCCACTAAGGCTGAATACATGTTAGGCCCATCTTTCATTCTAGGTAGTTTAATTTTGTACGAAGATAACAAAATGGTTCAAGTTTTGTCTATCTTATATTCATAAACAACTTAAAATAGAGTTATTACAATTGCTTTGATCAAGTTATATGCTATACCACAAGTAAAACTTAGAAACTCATTGTTAGTATAATTCTACAATCGGATAAAAATTTGGTTATAGAATTGATTTTTTTAATGGATTTATGAATATGGCTGAGTTAACTAAAATTTCAAGTCTATGAATATTCATGATCAATTTATTTGATTATAACTTTTTAAGTCTATAAAAAACAATTTCATTTCCTTTCATACGGTGGTATAAACTAAATAAGTACATAAATAATAAAATAAAGGGAAATTTTGTCAAATAACAAAAAATGAGGTGGGGTTGAAAAATATAACCAAGAAAACCTGATTTTCATAAAATGGCCAAGGTTTCTGTAGAGACGAGTTCTACAGAAGCCTAAATTCTCTAAGTAAGTGATGTGGTAGGATTAAAATCATAAAACCATATAAATAAAATACTATTACTGCAGAGGCCGTATTATTTCTGCAGAAACCGTGGAAATGTCATACGTAAAAAATGCTTATTCAGCTACCATTTACGCAGAACATTAATATTTTCTGCAGCTCTACGAAATCGTCCCGTCAGACGTCAGTTTTTGTCTTTTTTGCACAAGTGTCCAGTTCCTCGGAAGCTTTTTTTGCAAAGTTTGTCTATGTGGAAATCTTGGTATTTTATGAAAATACAATTTTTTGTCATATTTTTCAACCCCATCTCATTAAAAAAAAAAAAAAAAGAAAGAAATTTTTCCTAAAATAAATTACAATTAAAAAAATGAAAATCCGCCAAGATTTTATACAACTTATAATTCCCGTTAAGGGTAGTTCGTTCCCGCCCTAATGCCACAAAATGTTCAATTAGGAATTCCGATTTTCAACGTAGTTGCAATTCTCAAACAAATTTGGTTTCAATCTCTACACTTTCATCTGCAATCGAAGATCGGTGGTGACTGTTAGAGATACAATCGTTTCTGCTTCTCCTGTTGACGACGCGATGGTGAAGGAATCAACACCGCCTAATTCAAGAGCTAATCTGAAGAAGCCTCCATGGCAGACTGTTCTCACTTTTTTCACCAAAAACTACGCCCTTCTATTGGTAGTACTGCTTTTGTCTGAGACGATTCTGCGGTTGCTATTTGGGAACAATGACGTTTATCCTTTAGGGCTCGATAGACGGACTGCTGAGGAAACCAAGTCCCTGTTACATACGACAACCAAGATGATGCAGGTTCAGATTGAAGCTGTGGACAGAAAAATCGAGAAAGAGATCGAAGATTTAAGAAACGAATTGAGTGAGAGAATAGACGAGAATGATTTCTTCTATGGGGCCAGATTGCGTGATTTTGGCGAAAGGGTTGATAGTATTGGGCGATCATTGATTAGCGAGGAAAGGTTATGGAAAGATGAATTCAACAAAAGTATAGAGAAATTAAAGTTCAAAAAGGGGAAGGATGAAGGGGATTTTAGGTTGGATGAAATGAAGGGTTATGTGAAGGAGATGATTGAGAAGGCAATCGACAATCATGCTGCTGATGGACTTGGTACTATTGACTATGCGGTTGCTTCTGGTGGAGGAATGGTGGTGAAACTCTCTGAACCCTACAATTTGCAAAATGCGATTCATCTGTTTGCTCTGAAGATTCTGCAACCTAGTTTTGGTGAACCTGGTCAATGTTTGCCTCTCAAAGGGGACAGTGGTTATGTTGAGATCAAATTGAGGCAAACCATCATCCCAGAGGCTATAACTCTTGAACATGTTGCAAAGGTTTGTTCTCTTATCTTGTTTTCTCTGAAGATTCTTGTTGATTTGTTCACTTAATTTGTGCATTTTATGGTGTTATGAACATGAACAGAGTGTGGCATACGACAGATCTATGGCTCCTAAAGAGTGTAGAGTGTTTGGATGGTTGCATCCTGATTCCAAGAAGATGGTTTTGCTAAGAGAGTTCACATATGATCTTGAAAAAAGAAATGTACAAACATTCAATGTTTGGGAGAATGGATATGCTGTGAACATGATGAGATTTGAGTTCAAATCAAACCATGGAGATCCCACTCACACTTGCATATATCGCTTCAGGGTTCATGGTTATGAGCCTGATTCTCTCTCATCATAGGTAACACACTCAAGAAATTATATGCTATCTCTTTATCTTATTAGTTTACATAGATTTCATGCTTAGGTTAAAATTGAAAATTAGTAATTGGTCCATATAATCAAGTTTGTATGTAATTTGATTATGATCCTTGAAGCCTGGTGCTAATGTGTATTATATGCTTATGTTTTTGGTTGCAGATTCTTCAGACTAGTAAAAATGAGTCAACTCTTACAAGTGAAGTGATGATGAATATATTGGAATAACAATGAGAGGTAACTGTAGCAACTTTTGTAGTCATATATTTTGAAAATATACCATAACTTGTAGTAACAGTCTTTTTTTTTTTTCTTGTAAAAAGTTAAACCATGTTTTTCCATTTCTTTCATAAAATCTCCTTATAAAATTCATCTTTACATGTCAACTCAGTCATTCCATTCCAAATATGACACAGTTATTATTAAAGTTTGTGAAATGGCAAAATGGGGAGAACTTGTAAGCAACACCAAGAGAAATTCAGATTGTCAAATTCTAATCAGATTATGTTGAGCAAGTTATAGAAATGGTTAAAAATGGAAATTTATATTTTTTTGAATGAGAAATATGCATGGAATATCATATGATATGATTGATATCATTCTAGTTGTTTATTAAGCGGGACAAAATGATAAATATGAGAGAATTATTTTAAAAACAAAATTAGCATTTAAAAATCTGTAAAAGATCCTTATTAAGGTTATTGTTAAACATTAGAAAATCAGGCACAAAGTGAAATATCACTTGAAAATGGTTTGGATCACCATATAATATATATTAATTTTATTTTATTTTTTATATTAATGTTATTAATTTAATGTAATTAGTATGTGAAATTTAAAATTTAAAATTTGAAATGAAAAATCAATTATTAGTTTAATGTAATTAGAATAAGAAATTTAACATTTAAAATTTGAAATGAATAATTAATAGGTTGACATGTGGCATTATAGGTGACATAATATTAATGAGAATTTCTAATATTATGACACTTGTCAATCTATTCTAATAAATGAAGGTTTTTTTGCCACATGTCATCTTCTTATTTATTTGGACACATGGCATTTTATAGAATTTTTAAATTTTATATTTTTCACTTGTCATTTTATTGTATTTTTCATTTTATTAAATTAAAATTTCACATTTAATATGTAAGGTATTTATTAAAAATGATGTATATATGTAATGTATTCAATACATTAAAGTCTCATTAATATTAATAATTCAAAAAATTTCTTATTTTTCTTACAAATTCAAAATTTTCAAATTGTTAAAACTTCATATTTATTTTTTTTAAATAAACCTATGTAATACATGGGTCTCACACCTGGTATGAGAATAAACTTATTTATTTATTAGAACAGAGAGAAAAGAGATATGGGTTATATAATACATATAATCTACTAGGTGTGAGACCCGTGTATTACATGAGTTTATTAAAAATAAAAATTTAATATAAAAATTTAAACATTAAATATTTTATAAAATAATACTTTTATATAACATAATGTAATTTTTTTTGGAACATTTATAAAAGAAATCAAATATTCTTTAGAACATTTATGAGACTTTATTATCAAATTAATAGAATGATTCTCTTTCGTTATATGAAATTTTATTTTAAAAAAATAGAAATTCTCAAAAAATGACAAGCGGAAAATAATAATTCTAAAACTCCCACAAAATTACATGTGGCAAAACTCTTGAGAATTTGACAAGTGACAAAAAAAACCTTCATTTATTAAAAAGACAAAACTGCACAAATGGTCCCTGTGGTTAGCAGAAAATTGCCACTTTGGTCCAAAAAAGTTTGGACTAGCACCAGAAGTCCAAACTTTTCATTTTCTTGCGAGTTTGGTCCAATTTGCTTTAAACATTTTTATAATGACAGTTTTGCCCCTGAATTTATCCTTTGTATTTTCTTTTTTAAATATTTTTATTATAGAAATTAATAAAATACTCTCTCTATCTCTCTCTCTCGTTGAAAGTCAATGAACAAATAGAGAAACTGTAAACTTCTTTCCCTTCTGATCAAAGTAATATACACAAAAATATGTAAACCTTTTTTCTACATAATCCTCATCTTCCTTTGACTAATTCACCATTAACCCACCTCGTCACCACCAACAACGGAAACCACCATCGTCACCATCTCTCTTATCTTTTGACCGGAGCAACCCGAACTGTTGTGTCTCTGACCACCTGATAACACCTAGAACAACATCACCACCACTCCTCCGAATATGTGATGCCGACGAGAGGAGAAAACGGGCAAACACATCGACCACAGTCGATTGTGGCAGTTCTTTTACAAATCGAGTCCAAAGAGCCATTGCTAAGCCCAATTTACGAAACCCTAGTGTTAGAGAAGAAGGATTCTACATCGACGACAGAGAAGGATCATCGCAGCAAACCCTAGCTCATCCTTTTCTTAGATCTTTCATCATCGGAGAAGAAAGGTTATCTGAAGGCGCACAATCTGTTTAATATCTATTCGATCTTCGTCTCCGACTGTGTATCTTTTTTCTTCTTCTATCTCGACCGGTGAGCAACGGGGGTGCACCGATCTTCTACCTCACTGTATTTGTGTATGTTTATCATTTATGGAATTTGATTTGTGTGTGAGTATTTATCCCTAAAAAATCAATTTGTTTGTGGGAATCATATCAGATTCCAAATTCTGATGAAGGAATTATTAGAGCACCTCTAGTGTTCACTGGTTTGTAGAGGGAATAAGGACGAAAGCAACAAGGTGTTAGTGGAAATCTCGACGGTAGCAGGTGGTGGTGGCTGGTTTTTACGTTGGCAGCGGTGGCAATGGGGAGGCGAGTCTGCCTCCGCTAGTTTTTTGTTCGACGACAAATGAAGAGGGAAAAGGGAGGGAATCAATTAGCAATGATCGGAGAAGGTGTGGGTGGGCTAATCGCAGAAAACAGTGGGGAAGATGGGGTAGTGGCATCGGTGGTTTATGGCGGTTAAAACTCGTCGTGTGTGGGTTTTTCTTCAACTGAGAGAGAGAGAGAGGACATTGTAACGGGGAGAGAGAAAGAGAGAGAGAGAGAGTATTTTATTAATTTCTATAATAAAAATATACAAAAAAGAAAATATAAAGAATAAATTCAGGGGCAAATCTGTCATTATACAAATGTTTAAAGCAAATTGGACCAAACTTGCAAGAAAATGAAAAGTTTGGACCTCTGATGCTAGTCCAAACTTTTTTGGACCAAAGTGGCAATTTTTAGCTAACCACAGGGACCATTTGTGCAGTTTTGTCTATTAAAAAAGATGAATCGACTTTTAATTAAGATTTGCAAATTGAGAAACAAAACGACAAAATTGCAAGTTTGGTCCCTGTGGTATGTCAAAAATTGGATGTTTGGTCCAAAAAGTTTTGGGATTGCACCGATGGTCCAAAAGGTTTGATTTGTTGTGGAATTAATCCAAAGGCTTAACAGCCGTTTGTGCCCTCCGTTTGTGTAAGGGTATTTCTGTCCAAAAGGATTGATCTTGTAAATTATTTGTCAAATAAGGGTAACTTTTGAATAAATTAAATTAAAATTTGATTCCACTTTGACTTTTGACTGGTCAAAATAGGAACCCGATTAGAAAGTGGTCAAGGGATTTTTTTTTGTTCGTCATTTGATCGTGTCAAGGGGAACGCAAAGGAAACGAATACAAAACACGAAGGGAAGAACGAAGGCATAATCGATTGGAAGGAAGAGGAGATTGGAACGGGAATGAACCGAAGGCAGTCAAGAAGAAGGTACACAAAGTTAGCGAAGGTTCGATCGTTCTTCTGGCTGAAGGAAGGGGGTCCGATGGCTTCTGATTTTTCGTCGATTGATTCGCAATCGGTGATGGCCTCCAGGGTTCGACTTAGGCCTAAGAAGAGGAAGGGAAATGAGGAGGCATCGAGGGGTGTTAGGAGGCGGTAGTCGACGACTCATTCTTCTTCTACTCCTGTCGTGTAGTGCGATGGGTAAAAACGAAAGGCATGATAGTAGCGACTGGCTGATCTGTTGAGCTACCTCCGATCTACCTTCCTTCTATTCGAGTTTCACCGTCGGACAGAAGAGAGAAAACCGAGCCTATAAGATCAGCCCTCGTAGGAAAAGAAATCGGTCAAGGAGGCCGCCAGAGCAACCCCCTCGCCATCACTTTTGTTGACAATAGTCACCACCGAACCACTCTTCTACTTTCGTTATCCTTTTCCTTGTACAAACAATCACAGGTGGTGCCCTCCATAGGATCGACAATTGTTGCTGCTTTCATTCCCTTTTCTTCTCCGATCAGACACGAAGGTGAAGAACCACTCTTCCATCGTTTGTGTTACAGGACCAAAACAATCATTCCCTTTAAGATGATGACCGTGTTGGTCCCTTTACCCAGATTTTGTATCAGATTGGCAAAATCAGTCCCTCTAGTTGTAGCTTTAAATTAAAATTAGCCACTTGGCATAAATTTTTTCAAAGCATGTCCGAATTTAATAAGATATTAAAAGAAGATGTGTGAATTGATAGAAATACCCTCACACATACAGAGGGCACAAACTCCTGTTAAGCCTTTGGACCAATTCCACAACAAATCAAATATTTTGGACCACCGGTGCAACCCAATAACTTTTTGGACCAAACATCAAATTTTTGACATACCACAGGGACCAAACTTGCAATTTTGTCGAAACAAAACATAATATCTATCGGTCGACTTTTAAGAAAATACTACAAATTTAGTCCTTGTGGTTTGCAAAAAACTTTGGATAGGGTCCAAAAAGTTTTTGACTTGCATGGACGGTCCAAAATCAAAACTTTTCCTTGAATTTGGTCCAAATAAATATGAAAAGACTATTTTGCCCTTATTATTTCTTTTTTACATTTTCTTTGTTTATTTTGATTGTTTTAATATAAAAGAAAAAAAAAGAAACGCGCATGACCGGTTGACTACACAATACCCATACCACATATCGCTCTCTCTTACTCATCAAAAAGACTTCCATGATCAATTCGTTTCCATATCTATCACCTTCCTTTCCCGTCAAGATGCCCTACAACAGTCGTCTACCCTTCTCGCTGGTAAGTTTCTTACCTCACACTGTCTCCATTCCCCTTTATTCTTCTCAAGCCAATGGGTTTAAGTTTTGGAGCTTGAAGCCTGCCATCTAGACTGAATCCTTGATAAATTCGACAGCTTGAAACGTGTTAACTTCTGACAGCCTACTAATCTCTTTCCCTCAGCCATCGAAATCTTTTAAGGTTCCATTTTAGATTTGATTTTGTGTTTTCTGAAAATTTCTAGGTTAGCTTAGAATTTTGATTTTCAATTTCTACAATTCATGTTTATTATTATGTGGGTAGGTGTAGATTTTCTGGTAAAGAGATTTTCTAGGATCCATTCATTATCTCAAAGATTTTGTGAGTTTCAATTTCATCAAATTTTGTTCAATTTCAGCAATTCGTGTTTATTAGTGAGGAATTGGGAGTTTTATGTGAGATTAAATTGATGAATGCAAAACTGATGGATTGAAGATTTTAAGGTAAGTTTTTGTTGGTTTTTTGACAACTCGATTCATTTGAAGGAAACGTAAAACCGATGTCCCTGGAACATTTGGAGATTGATTTTGAATATGTAACGGTGGGTGTTTTTGATCCGGTTGTAGGTTAGAGGTGGCAGTCCCCAGTGGGTCTTTTTTATTATTATTTTGTTTAGGTTTTCCGACAAAGAAAAGAGGATGGAGGAATAATTGGTTGCAATGTAGCTTACACTCAATATTGAAGTGGATTTGTGTTTTGTTGCAAGTTTTAAAGAAGAAGAAGAAGAAGAAGAAGAAGGAGGAGGATTAGGAGAGAGAGAGAGAGAGAGAGAGAGAGACGATATGGTGGGGTGTATATTTTTTTAATTTCTTTTTATTTTGTAGTTATAAAAACATTATAAATAGTGAAAATAATGTAAAAAAGAAATTAGAAGGGCAAAACCGTCATTTCAGGTCTTCCAAGGACCAAAACCACAAGAATCTTCTAATTTTAGGACCAAAATCACGCAAAAGTTTTGATTTTGGACATTACATGCAAGTCAAAAACTTTTTGGACCCTATCCAAATTTTTTAACAAACCACAAAGACCAAGTTTACAGTTTTGTCGACTTTTAATTAAGATGTCCAAATTGAGAAGCAAAAAAAAATGAAGCTAATTACATATTGATATGAAAGTATTTGAAATCTAGAAGCACAAGAATGTTCATGTAGATAGAAGTGTACCACATCTCCTTCATTATGATAATTTAGAAGTTAATTTGGAATTAATTGCCAATTAGTTAATTTGGCCTTAAATTTAGGAGTTTTGAAATTAAAAGAAAGATATGCATTTTTTAAAAAGATTTGTCATTTATTATCACATTTATTATATTCCCATCTATGATGTATAAAAAGAATGACGATATGTGACAATAAAAAAACATCACCAGCTTCGCAATGATTTGGCAGAGCATGTATATTAAGTTAATGAAATTGATTTAAATGAGTCAACAATGATATCAACGAATATTTGGACCGGAAGATTTTATGTTATTTTGATTAGCATTTCTACGTTATTAAGCTAGTTAATTTAAATTTCGTTTCATGTTTGTTAAATCAAACGTAATGTTTTTAAATTTTAACGAAATATGATGTTATTTTAATTAGTATTTATTTTTTGTTTTATGTGATTTTTATACTTTTGAATTAAAAAAAAAGGAAAAAGTTGATAGGTAAAAACATCACCACACCCTACTTATAGATAAATTGTTGTAAAAATGGTAACAACTTACATGGTGCCTATCTGACACCTTTTTCATAGGTAAAAACTTTACAACACCCTTTAGCCTAAGAAATAATGGATTAACTATTTTCGATATGTAAATCTTTCGTTAATTTCAAGTTTGTAAAACAAATGAACAATAGTTGATACTCAACAAACTTGGAATTTTCTAATTATATTACACCATTGAATACATTCCGAATTACCAAATCAATGCAAAGAGAAGAATTTAACTTGATTCCTTAAATAATATATTATCAAAGTTGAAATGCAACTGTAAGCATATTAAGCAAACACAAATCGTAAAATCATATTCAACTTACCTACTTGAAATTGAGATGTGTAATCTTCCATACAGAAATAAAAGTAAAAGAATCTCCTTTTCATGTGATCACTTTAAAGAAATAAGAATCAACGGATTAACTATTTCCAATTTGTAAATCTTTAGTTTCAAGTTTTTAAACAAATGAACAATAGTTGATAATCAACAAACTTCGAATCAGTAAAAGTATGATGCTAGTAATTAATTTGTATATAAAAGAACAATATAGCAGTGCACTTTCATCTAATCTTTATTATAGTATCCTACTTACACACACGTATACAATAACATACATAGTAACATATAAAGTCAAACATACACAATCACATACACACATAGACTCAATGGAATACAATCACATACCAGGCGATTGTTACCTAGCTATGTAATAAAATTATAAGTCCTCCTTTTCCCATGGCCTCGATTCTCCCCTTCTCTTAGACCATCTTTGTTTCTCTTGTCTGCATAATAGGACACACAAACACAAAAAGGGGAAAAGGTTAACCCGAGCTTGGTTCCCTTGGCCTACTCAATCCATCGATTAATATGTCTTCTTAACCATCGAGCTTGGTTTCCGGTTCTATAAAATCTCGTTAACCGGTTCCGGGTTTTCCGGGTCCGGGTCCATCCGGTCCGGCTTTGGACCCACTTTCATCCCCAGTCGGCCTGGTCCACTCTCCGAGCCTCGACACGTCTGGTCCGCCCTCTTGGGTCCTACAGCCTATCCAGACCGCTCGCTGGGCCTTCGGGATAACCGGTCCGCCCTTGGTATGTTGGCCTACAACACAAAGCAGGACCCGCCTCAACCCAACCCCAACCATGTGCACATAAACATTCAAACATATAAAAATTCGCATTCAATCAAACCGATCTAGCAGATCACATAGCATACCCTCATCCTATCCAAGATACCGACCTAACCGGTCACTAACATAGCATCATCCTATATACCAGGATACCGACCTTAACTAGGTCTATAACATATACCATCCTGACTACCAGGATGCAACACAACAAAGCAATAACATAACAACGATACCCGGATCTCAATCCGATAAAGGGCCGGCCTTAGTGCCGTAGACCCTGTCGATATAGTGAGGATAACTCACCTCGCAACTGCCGACTGAACAGATAAACCCAAGCTGCTCTGACCACTGATACGATCTCTACCACTGGCCAACACCAAAACACTAAACTCAAAATAAATGCCAACAATTACCAAAATGCCCCTGGAAAATCAACTAGTCAACCCTTGGTCAAAATCAAAGTCAAAGTCATTCTCCTGACTGACTCTACTCGCCGAGTCAACCCGATGACTCGCTGAGTTCCCATGCTCAGAACTTTCCCAATCCGCGACTCAACTCGCCGAGTCACCCCGAGACTCACCGAGTCCAACAACTATGAGTCCTTTCCCACTCAACTCACCGAGTCATCCCTCGACTCACCGATTCACGGCTCAACCAGAAGAGAGTTAGGACCTTACGACCAGACTCGACGAGTCCAAGGCTATCTTCAACAGGCTCGCCGAGTTGTTCTTCCAACTCGTCGAGTCCATGCCTATCTTCATCCAAGTCGTCGAGTTCCAGCCTATCTTCAAGCAACTTGCCGAGTACACCCTTGTGACTCGCCGAGTACCCCTAGATCTGAAACCATACAGAGGCTTTCCAAGCCATGCAGAAGCTCTAAACCATAGATCTACCCTTCTACAAGCCATCCATAACGTAAAGTGGCAAACTTTACGGGAATCCATGTAGATCTAAGCATGTTACACTCTAGGGTTTGGGTTTGGGACAAAAGAACTTCACCAACAACTCTTAAGCAT